CTGCTTAGTATTCATGAGGCCCTGAATTCAAACTCCAGTATTACCAAAAAAAAAAAAAAAATACCCAACACAAAAAAAGGGCTGGCAGAATGGCTCAAGTGGTAGAGCGCCTGCCTAGCAAAAGTGAGACTCTGAGTTTAAATCTCAGTACTGCCCTCCCCCCAAAAATTACTAGCATAATGTTGTCACTGTGCAAAGTGTTCTTAATTTAAAATACAAAAAATACAGAAACATTCAAAGAAGTAGCAATCACTCATATTTTCACAATCAGAATTAATCACTGTTGAGATTTTTAAATATTTTGCTTCTGCTGGTATAAATGGCTTAAAGAAGCAAAAGAAAGCAGAAAAGAAACAGAAACTAACTTGAAATGTGATTTAGTAGAAGGCCAGTGCTGTTCTTGGATATTTCATGTGCTTCAGGAAGGGGAAGTAAGTCAGGTCCAAAAATATGCTAGTAAGATACCTATATACCAAATAACTTAGAAGCTGAATTAGATTAAACATAAAAGTACACAAAAAGGCTGATAAATTCTAGATGACATTATGAAGGATCTGAAGAGCTGAGCTTTTACAGTTAGTTAAACTACCCTGAATATTAATCTGTCTGCAAATCCTAGGGTTTCTCCCTTTCAGTAGAGTTAACTAGAAAAGTCAGGAAAAGTGTACTAAACTGATAGAATTGAAAGGCATTTTCTGCTAAAATGGAGCTCACACAGTATCAGAAACACCATTTCTTTTCTAATTACAGTTATCTCTGTTGTCAGTACAGTCATACTGGAGTTGTCCCTCATGATTCTGGGCACATCCAACCTCCACATTTAGCTTAAATACTTTTAGCTATAGGACCCAGTTCAGGAAAGCACAGCTATGTGGGCTGGGCTGTATATAGATGGCTAGCTACTTCACCAAAAGACCAGCCAAATGACGGGCAGCTAATAGCTTATGGTGTAGTGAAAAACTGCAAGGCTGGGTTCTTCTCTTGGAAATTTATAATAAAGGAATGGAAAGAACTTGTCAATTGGAAAGAGACAGAGTAGCTGAGTGAATTAAGTGCCAAAACCTTACTCAACTACAAACCCTATTCTTTCTGTAGTCTTGTAAAACTACTGTTTCTGCCCTTCCTAATGAAAAGACTAGTTTTCTCTGTATTGCTGTGCAATTACTATTTGCTGTGCTATTACTATTTGAGAGTTTTTCTCAATGTAGAAAATATCTCAGAAATATGCGTTTTAACTTTTTTTTTGTGGTACTGGGGCTTGAACTCAGGGCTTACATCTTGAGTCACTCCTCCAGCCTTTTTTGTGAAGGGTTTTTTGAGATACTGTCTTGTGAACTACTTGCCTGGGCTGACTTTGAGTGGAGATCCTCCTGATCTCTGTCTCTTGAGTGGCTAGATTACCAGCAAGAGCTACCGGCACCTGGCTGCATTTTAACTTTTAAAGAAGTTTTACAAACACAACTGGGAACTTAGGTGAGATGGAACTACACATTTTATACATGAGAAAACTGAGGCAGAATGGGATGAGACAATCTGGTAAGGTTACATACCACCTCAATGGCATAACAATGATAATACAAGACAGCTGTTCTTTTCTACTAGGTCACCGATTTGTTTGAATGCTATTGTTTTCCTTTACAGTTCTTTTTCCCTAAACATTAGCTATGTCAAGGATAATACTGTAAAGCACAAAACCAGGTTTCTCCCTTACCTGTCTGTTGTATGGTAGTTATTGCCTGAGCATTGCACTGTAGCTGTAACATGTGTCGCAGCATGGCCACTCCCCAAATATTCAAATCTGCACACAATTCAGTAGCCACTGCTGCTTTTAGCTTAGAGGACTTCAGGCCTGGGGTGAAGGCCAGCAAGCTGGCTGCTTCGAGCTGCCTGCACAGTGCAGAGACACTGATGGCACAGAGGAATTTGTGCTCTGGGCTATGGTTTTCAGTATGGGGCAAGAGGTTGAAGACAGCATTGTAATTATTTTCATATTTTCCATTAATATTGCATCCAGGAATTGGGATCTCAACTATTTTGCCAGTTTCCTCACTCTCCCCGTGGCTGTCACCGAGTGTCTTGACCAGATTCTTGCTTTCAGGTAAAGAGATGTCCTTGTTACTAATCTCATCACAAAGCTTCTTTATAACTTTACCAATGTTCTCAAACCTAGCCAACAGAGTCAACCTCAGGGCAACATGGCAAAAGACACCCAGTGTGAGAAGCAGGCCCCCTACAGCACACTCTGAGCTATGGTAGAGCTCCCAGGCTTGCTGCAAACACTCTTTACTGCAATACTTGGCATAGCTGCATCCATTGCAGGGCACTGTGGCCAAAGTGTGCTTCAAACATCGATGACAGTTGAGGTCCCCATTGGTAACTCTAGTATCCCACTTGCTTTCTAAGCCATGATGCAGAGGTGGCATTTCTCCTGGGTTAAGGACAATCACAAAAGCGTCCTCCTTTACCAGGAGCTCTCCTGGGAGGATGTCTTTTGTGGCAACCAGATAGCGGCCTTTTACAGGGTCTGTGCACAAGCCAACAGATGATGATGCACTGGAAATGCGTTTGTTCTCTTCCCTTATGTCTATATCCTCAAAGGCTTTAGTGACAGCTCCTGGGAATGTTTCTGGGACAGTCTTCTTTTCTTGTACCTTCATCTTCAGATGATGGAGGTTTCTCTGCAGAATTTGACAGGAGGGAGCTTCCAGGGTTGGTTTGGCAGTGAAGTTCCTCTCAAGATCACTGATGGTCTGCTTCGCCTCCTGTAGTCTCCCCAGGGTCACCAGGCATTCTGCCTTTCGCAACATCATTTTGGGTTTCAGTCTTTCTGGATACCCATGCATCTGTGCTCTTTCAATGTCTTCAAGACATGTCTGAAAACAGAAAGGAAATCCCAAGATGACCCTTGGTCCCTACTCTTCAACGTGAACTGAAAATTCTTAAAAAAAATTCTACAGGAGCCAGGCGCCGAGGCTCATGACTGTAATCTTAGCTACCCAGGAGGCAGAGATCAGGAGGATCGTGGTTTGAAGCCAGCTAGGGTGTTCCAAGACACCCTATCTCAAAAAAATCCCTTCACAGAAACGGGCTGATGGAGTGGCTCAAGGTTTAGGCCCTGAGTTCAAGCCCCAGGATTGCAAAAAAAAAAAAAAAAAAAAAAAAACCAGGAATGCTTAGGATTATTAGAAGTTGAACAAGGATTAGAAATAAGGGCAAAATAGTTTCTGCTGGGTATTGAGGGGGTGGCGGGGAGAGGGAGGGGGCAGAGTGGGTGGTAAGGGAGGGGGTGGGGGCAGGGGGGAGAAATGACCCAAGCCTTGTATGCACATATGAATAATAAAAGAAAAAAAAAACAAAACAAACAAATAAAAAAAAGAAATTGAACGGGAGGAGATGGTGGGGAAAGAGGTAGGAGGATAAATACAGGGCAAATATGTATACATCTATATGTAACTGCAAAAATGATACCTGTTGAAACTGTTACAGGAATTGGGGGAGGGGAGATGAAGGAGAGCAGTGGAGGGGGTGAATTCAGGTATGATATATTTGATACATTGTAAGAACCTTTGTAAATGCTACAATGTACTCCCACCCAGCACAATAAAAATTTATGTTAAAATTTTTTAAAAAGTTGAACTACAACCAAGATTTTATTTCTTTAAATTATGTTCTATTCTTTTCTTCTTTTTTTTTTTTTTTGCACTAGGATTACTGAACTCTACCACTGAGCTATACCCCTGAGCCCCTGTGTGATCTTTAATTGAGTGATTAGTAATATTTGTTGAGGATATTATATTTAATTGATCTTATTAAATATTTCTGTTACTAAAGGGAAAAAAAGCCTTACAGAATTATAGGAAGTTTAAGACGGCAGGCTTTGAAGCCAAGCAAACACTCAAATACTGCATTCCAATACTGACTATGTCTTTTACTAGATGCACGACCTTACGCAAGCAATTTAATTTCTTACTACCTTAGTTTTCTCAATACCTCACCAGATGAAATAAAGCAATATATTAAAAGTGCTAAAAGAAGCACATGGAACATGGTTTACGCTCAATGAATGTTTATCTTTTTTTAGAAGGAAAACAGAATTAATCAATACAGGGAAGTTAAATGTTTTGCAAGTTTTTAAAATTTTTGTCTGTGGTACTCCAGAACTTTCTTGTTTAGGAGCTAGAGTTAGATTCTTGTTCTTCACTTTTGATCTGAAGGACAAAAGTTTAAACATGTTTGACTAGAGTTATTACAATTTGTATTTTCATGGAATTCTGTGTATGCTAAAGGGCATTTTAGAGCTTGTCCTTAGACCTCTATATGACAAATTTCAGAGGATCTAACTAAAACATGAATCTGATTTTGGTCACTTTCTGTTTTAAAAACCACCGATACAATTCTCAAAATTTTTTCTGTTGCCACAATTAGGGGATTTGGAAGAAATCACTCATAGAAGCCTAACTCATAGGCAGTTGCAGGTATTTCAGGTCAACTTTTGCTGAAGGTGAGCTGTATTATTTTAGGGATAATCTTAAACATGCTCTACTTAATTCAAAGAAACAAATGAACAAGTAAATACTCCGAACACACTTGGAACCTGAAGCAACATATCATATAGCTGGTCTTGGTCTTGACACTGAGAACTACTGACCTACTGGACATAGTTCATGCCCCTAAGAGTATGCCACAGCCTTTTCTTGTTGGCCAACTATACTCCTCGTGGTCATCTGTGATTGGTGAAATGAATCGAGAGAAAGGACAAGTTTGGGTAGATAACAATGTGTTTCCAATTCAACCAACTGCAGCACAGCCTGATTTCAGTGTTCTGAGGAAGAAGTGGAGAGAAGGCCTCGCCTTCCAGTGAAGCCCCAGGCATGACAGCAAGCCCCCAGATACTCACTTCATACTGACCCAGGTGGAAGAGGGCTGCAGAGCGATTGGCATAGCACAGTGAAATGTCCTCAGTGTTAGGCCTTGAATGAGAAACTCCCTGCAAAACAATGAATTGGTTAAAGGTGCAAATGGAAACTAGTATCTCTAAAGTAAATAAGTATTTTTTTCAGATAATAGGGGCTCTGCTACTGAAGACTCAATGAAATTGGGAAAGTCACCGAATCTCTGTGCTCCAGATGCTTCAGTTTCTTTTTTCTGTTTTTTTTTTTTTTTGTGGTACTGGGTTTGAATTCAGGGACTACATCTTCAGCCATTCCGCCAGCTCTTTTTGTGAAGGTTTTTTTTTAAGATAGGGTCTCATGAACTATTTGCCCAGGTTGGTGTCAAACCACAATCCTCCTGATCTCTGCCTCCTGAGTAGCTAGGATTACAGGTGTGAGCCACTGGTGCCCGGCTCAGTTTCATTTTTAACTACCTTATAGCAAGGCTGTGATGATCAAGTGAGAAAATAAATATTCAACACTATTTGACTTTAGCAGCATCAAATGCAGTTTCAACCACAAACAATACTGAAGGCAAATGAAAATATCTGCAAGGAAAATTTCTGCATATAGTCAGGTGCTGGTAGCTCATGTGTGTAATCCTAGCCACTTGGGAGGCTGAGGTTGGGAGGACCAAGGTTTGAGGCCAGCCTCGGCAAAGTCTTAAGACTCAAAATAACTAGATCTTAATATCTCCAAAATAACTAGAGCAAAATGGACTAGTGGTGCAGTAGAGCACCTGCTTTGCAAGTGTGAAGCCCTGAGTTCAAACCCCTGCTCCACCAAAAAAACCAAAAATTAAGGTATAACAGCAATGGAAGAAACTAGTTAACAGTCTAAAGCAATGTTGGAGGAATCCCTTTCTCTCCATGATGCAAAACCCAGAAGTCATAAAAGGTCAATATATTTAACACATAAAAATAGAAAATTTTGTGTTTGCTTTTTTTTACTTATTAAAAATAGAAAATTTCTTTACACCAAAATCAAAAAGTGAAAGTTAGACCAGAAAAAATATACGTAATTCATCCTACAGGTAAAGAGCAAATTTCTTTAATTTATCAAGGGTTTCTACAGATTAGCCAGACAATGGTGCCTCATGCCTGTAATCCTAACTACTCAGGAGGCAGAGATCAGGAGGATTGCACTTCAAAGCCATCCCCCAGCAAATAGTTAGTGAGACCCTATCTTGAAAATACCCAATATAAAAGAGGGCTGGCTGGTGGAGTGGCTCAAGTGGTATAGTGCCTGCTCAGCAAGTCCTGAGTTCAAACTCCATAACTACCAAAAAAAATTGGTAAATGATAACCAATAATTCCATAGGAAAATATGAAAATGATTTGGACAGTCCCTATGGGAAATACAAATTAACTCTTAAAACATATGAGAAAATGCTCAATTTCATTCATAGTCAACAAACTGCAAATTAAAAGTACTGAGATGCCATTTTTCACCCATCAGCTTGACAAAGAAAAAGAAAACTGAGAGCACACTGAATTGGCAAAGCAGTGGAATAATAAGCACTGTCATTATGTTGCTTGTGGTCTATAAATTGGGAGAGCAATTTGGCAATATACATTAAATGCTTGGGGGAGGGTACTGGAGATCAAACCCAGAGCCTCACACATGCCAGGCTGACCTATGCCTCAACTTCTAAAATTTTATTTGCTATATTTTTAAATACACAAAAAGAATCTCCATTGATCCAGGAATTCCTCTTCTAAGACTTATTCTATGAATATAATCATCTATCTTATAGATATGTACAAAATGGCATACATGCAAAGTATCTCATCACATAATTGTTTGAAATAATAAAGATACATCCATTTAATGGAATACCATGTAGCCATAAAAAAAGGATAAGGAAGGTCTTTATGTACTGATGTGGAATGATATTCAAACTATTATTAAGTGCAAAATATATAGTGCTAAACGGTATGTACAAGATGTTATCATTTGTATAAAATGAAAACAGTTTTGTGTGTATAGGAGTGAAAAATTATTTATTCATTTGTGGTGCTAGGATCAAACCCAGGGCTTTGCACAAGCTAGCCACATATTCTACCACAGAATTTCAACTGTATCCTATTATTTATTTTTTTAAGAGATGGAGGTCTTACTATGTTGCCTAGGCTAGTTAACTTCTGGACTCAAGTGATCCTCCTGTCTCAACCTCTCCAGTGGCTCAGACAATAGGTGAGTGCCACTGAGCTTGGCTATTTTTATTCACTTACATATGTCTGAAAAGCAGTATATTTAATAGTGCCAACTTAAAGGGATGGAAAATGAGGTAACCAGGGGGCAGAAGAAGTAGACAACACTGTATATTCTTGCAACTTTTTTTTTTCTTAACCCTTGGTGTATTTAATCTTATTTGGAAATAAGGCTTTTACACATGCAATCAAATTAACACAAGGTCATTGGGTGGGTCCTAATCCAACATGATGGTGTCCTTAAAAGAGGAAGCCTCTGTGACATCAGTGTTAGAAATGAAAGAGGTGAAGAATGGATATGCGGGGAAATGCCAGCACAGGGTTTATTGTGGATAAGAAGTGGACCTGCAGAGGGGGTCCCCAGCAAGAGAGCTGGAGCCCTCTAGCAACTTTTTAAGTCTAACTATGTGAACATATATCTTATTCAAAAATATATGCAATAATAAAACTATAGTAACCAGTATTGCTCAGGATATGGAGAAATGAAAATTCCTATACTCTGTCAGAAGAGATGTTCACTAGTTATTTCTTAGAGAATAATTCAGCATCAAGTTCCAAAGGCCTTAAAAAAAATATATCCCCTTTAACCCAGCAATTACCCTTCTATTAATTTATCCTGAGAAAACAATCAGTTGGTTACAAATATTTACATAGAAAGATAATTGTTATAGCATTGTGATACCAAACAAAATGCCCATATTAGATGTTACATTAAGGACACTTCTTCCCTGTAATGGCACACTAAGCCAGCTGTAGAAAACCGTGTTGTAATAGAAAATTTAATAACATGAGAAAATGGGCACAATAAATTGTTAAGAGGAAAAAACAGGTTACAAAACAGTAAGTGCAGCATTATCCCAATTCTGTGAAAGAAAAACATATTTTCAGAGGAAAATGTCTGGTTGGATGGATATGAGCAAAAATGTTAACAGTGCCTATAACTGGTTATAACCTTTTTTTATCTTTGTACGTCTCTATATTTTTCAAAGTAACATTACTTTTACAGACAAAAACAAGCATTATTTTAAAAAAGAAAGAAAACAGCAGCTTTTTATAAAATTGCAAAATACCATAATCACCAAAATACCAGCTTCATGAAACAGGAAGTACATCTCCCACCACATCCAAAGTAAACCTTAATTTTTGCTGACTTCACTTCTTATTTGACCTGTTTTTTTGAACAACTTTCCATGTGATCACATTTATGATGCACATGCATAAAACTGAAGAGATTAGCTCTAAAAAAGAACCATTAAGCCATTTATCACTGGATCATTACACCTAATGGATTTTAATCCTTCAGCATTCACTAAAGCTTACATTATTTCACTAAATACTTTGTTATACCACTACAAAGCAGGGCTTTTATCAGCTGTAGAAGCTGCTGTTGTAGTTTGATAGTTTGATAGTTTGGGGGAAATTAATTCCAAACCTTGAGCATAGGCTCAAGAGTCAGAGTAGAGCTGGGTGCCAGTGGCTCATGTCTGTAATCCTAGCTATTCAGGAGGCAGAGATCAGGAGGATCACAGTTCAAAGCTAACTGGGGCAAAAAGTTCACGAGACCTTTTTTTTTTCCTTTTACAGTACTGGGGCTTGAACTCAGGACCTTCACCTTGAGCCACTCCATCAGCCCTATTTTTTTTCTTTTACATCTTTTATTTTTTATTTTATCATTTACATTCACTCACATGTGTATACATTGTTTGGGCCACCTCCCCCACCCCCCATCAGCCCTATTTTTGTGAAGGGTTTTTTGAGATAGGGGCTCAAGAACTATTTTCCTGGGCTGGCTTCCAAACATGATCCTCCTGAACTCTGCCTCCCGAGTAGCTACGATTACAGACATGAACCATCAGTGCTGGCCACAAGACTCTATCTAGAAAAGATCACAAAAAAGGGCTGGTGGAGTGGCTCAAATGATAGAGGGTCTGTCTATCAAGCGTGAGGTCCTGAGTTTAAGCCCCAGTACCACCAAAGAAAGATTCAGAGTAGGGGTACACCCTTCAAACTCATACTTTCAGTTCCGGGGATCAAGCCCAGCGCCTCATGCATGCTAGGCAAGCACTCTACTTCTGAGCTACACCCCCAGCCTCTCACATTCATTCTTTTAACATATAAGATCACAGACCTGACGCAAACAGATTGATATATTCTTACTTTACACCTATATAAATCTCTTTAAAAGCTATAGCAGGAAGTCTCTCAGGGGATCTTGTTCCAGTTTCTACCATGCCAACAATACCAGCCCAATAAGAATAACAGATTGAGCCAGGCACCAGTGGCTCATGCCTGTAATCCTAACTACTCAGGAGGCAGAGATCAGGAGGACTGAGGTTCAAAGCCAGCCCAGGCAAATAATTCTCAAAACCCTATCTCAAAAAAATCCATCACAAAAATAGGGCTTGTGGAGTGGCTCAAGGTGAAGGCCCTGAGTTCAAACCCCAGTACCACAAAAAAAAAAAAAGAGTAACTAACAGGTTGTTAACAAAACATAATTCCTCCTCAAAATCTAGCTTGGTGATGGTTGGTGTAATTTAAATTATTTGTTGACTGCTACTAATATGTTCACTGACAACCTTCAAAATGGAGTTTAACTGGGCTGTAACCAATAGCTCATTTTCTTTCTTAATTTTTAAAATAACTTTTAATTGTTTTCTTTACAAATGTGTGAGGGGGAAAAGCAGGGCTGCTTGGCTAGGGGCAGTCCTGACGATGATCCTTGAGGACTGATCTTGGCTCTGGCTGAGGCCAGTGTGAGATAATGCCCGCAATCGGCTCATTTTCCCTCCCTCCCTTCTTTCCTTTCCTTTCCCTGTCCCTTTTCCCTTCCCTTCCCTTCTCTGCCCTTCCTTCCTTTCTTTCTGGTGTTAGGGATTGAATCCAGGACCTTGTGCATACTGGATAAGTGCTCTACCACTTGAGCTATACTCCAAGCCCTTTTAAATTAATTAATTAATTAATTTAGTGGTACTGGGGCTTGAACTCATGGTCTTCACTTTGAGCCACTCCACCAGCCCTATTTTTGTGAAGAGTTTTTCAAGATAGGGTCTTGCAGAACTATTTGCCTGGGCTGGCTTCAAACTTCGACCCTCCTGATCCTGCCTCCTGAGTAGCTAGGATTACAGGCATGAGCCAGTGGCACCTGGCTAATTTTATTTTTGAGACAGGTCTTGTTGCTACTTTTGCTTGGGCTGGCTTTGAACTCATGATCCTCTTGCCTCTAAACTCATGATTCTCCTGCCTCTGCCTCCTTGGTAGCTGGGATTACAGACATGTACCACCATGCCCAGATACCTCATTTTCCTTTCTAACTTCATCTGAGTCATTCTGGTTGTAAGCTAACACTGTGGCTAGTTAAAATCTAGATGTTCTCTAAATCAAGACTATCAAGCTAACCCTATCAGTCATTCAGATAAAAATAGCATGTAATTCAATGAGAGCTGACAGACAGCAAGGCAGGGCAAGAGGCCAATAAGCCTATTGCTATAAGGTATCTGAAGGAATACAGGAATAGAAGTTTCTTGATGAAATTCAAGACGTACAAACTATTCTTTGTTTCAGCATATAATCATCAACAGAATTCCAACAATTTGTTTTTTCAAATCCAATCTGTGAACTATAGACAGAAATAACACTGACTGTGGAATTTAGCAATATGTCTCTATCTTCTGCAGAAATGCCTTGCTGAATTGCTAGGCTGGAAGCATTTTACCTTAGAGTACAGCACTGCCGCTCCTGTGTAATCCTTCTTCTGGAATTTTTTGTTTCCTTCTTTTCTGTAGAAAAGGGGGGCGTTGGGGTCCTTTTCCACCAAGTAACCTCTAGAAAGTCTTTTTAAAAACACCTCATCTTCAGGTCTTTGTAAAGAAAGAAGGAAGCAAACAAAAGCAAAAATTTGTTATTTCAAGGGAGGCTCCAAATCAGTGCACTTGAAATGAGAATGTGTGCCTGTGAACATACAGGCTGTATATATTACATAATGAGATTGGGGAGAGCATCTCAGGTCTCAGAGACTTAGGGACTGGGTTTCTACTCAGAGGAAAGAATGCTAGTGTTTCAGTCTTTATCTCACACTTACTGGCCAATGAACATCCCTTGGGTCATAGGTCATAAAGAAGCTTGGGTGTGGAGAATGACATAATACATCGAGTCTTTGCATTGAGTACTCTTCACTAAACTGTTGAAAATACAGAGGGGAGGAGAGAGGGGAGAGAGAGAGAGAAAGTAAGAGAAAGACAATGAGGGAGGGAGGGAGAAAGAAGAAGGTAGAAGAAGAGGGAAGGGAGGGTGAGTCATGAAGTAAATGTAGTGAAATGTTCATATATGGGGAATCTAGAAGAAGGCTATCATACAGTAATTTTTATACCATTTTTTGCAAGTAACTCTGAAATTTTTTCAAACTAAAAAGTTTTTTTTTTGAGACAGGGTCTCACTATGCATAGCCCAAGTGGGCCTCAAACTCACCATCCTCTTGTCTAAGCCTCCTGAAGGCTGCTAAAAAGGTTTCCTTTTTTTTTTAAAGCATACAAATACTCTATATAATAAAATTAATAAAGTTGATCTAATATATAAATAAGCATATATACATACTTTTTTTCCAATAAGGAGAAATAATGCAGAATAATCTAGATTATACTCTTTTACCACAATGCCATTGGTTAAAAAATACACAACAAGCTGGGAGTTGGTGGCTCATGCCTACTCAGGAGGCAGAGATCAGGAGGATCTCGGTTTGAAGCCAGCCTGGGAAAATAGTTTATGAGAAGTGTTTTTGGTGTTTTTCTCAAAAAAAACCCTTCACACACACACACACACACACACAAAAGGCTGGTGGAATGGCTAAAGGTGTAGATACTGAAATGTGTGTGTGTGTGTATATATATATATATATATATATATAGAGAGAGAGAGAGAGAGAGAGAGAGAGAAAGAGAGAGACAGAGAGACAGAGAGAGACAGGCAGACATAACAAAAGTAGAGACAAAAATGACATGAAAAACTAAAAATTCTCTTAAACAACTTTTGGATCAATGAAGAAATCCCAATCAGAACTACAGAACGGCTGGATGCTGTGGCTCATTGCTATAACCCTAGATACTTGGAAGGCTGAGATCTGGAAGACCTCGGTTCAAGGCCAGCCCAGACAAAGAGTTTGAGAGACCCCCATCTCCAAACTAACCAGAGCAAAATGGACTAAAGATGGGGCTCAGGTGATACAGCACCTGCTTTCCAAGTGTGAAGCCCTGAGTTCAAATCCCAGTCCACAAAAACAGTAAGAAATACCTTTTACAACTGGATGTGGTGGCACATACCTGTAATTCCAGCACTCAGGAGACTGAGGCAGGATTGTGAGTTGGAGGACAGTTTGGGCTATATAGTGAGACCTGTCTCGAAAAACCAAGGGATGTGGAAGTGCACTTGCCTAATCAGGTGCAGGACCGTGGGTTCAATTCCCAGAACTTCAAAAAAAAAAGACAATATTTAAACATAAAATACATAAATCACAAATACAAAAAGAAAAATTAGGTAAGATTATATTTAATTCAAAAGGTATGCTTGCCTGTTCTAAATTTACTTCAGTCCAACATATGAAGACAAAATACTCCATATATATCTGGTACTTTAAATTATGTTAATCCTGAAAATTCCAACTCAAAAAGGTTGTAGTGAACAGTAAGAAAAGCAAAACTCTTTTGCTTAACAGAAGATATTCTTTAATCCAAAATGTTGAATTCAATTTTATTTATTTATTTAGGCTATTTTTTTTTTTTTTTTGCAGTACTGGAGTTTGAACTCAGGGCCTACACCTTGTACCATTCTCTCAGTCCCTCCCCCCGCCACACTTTTTTATGACTTTTTTTTTTTTTTGAGATAGGGTCTCATGAACTATTTGCCTGGGCTGACTTTGAACCCCAATCCTCCTGATCTCTGCTTCCTGAGTAGCTAGGATTACAGGCATGAGGCACCAGCTCCCAGCTATTTTGGCTTTTGAGATAGGGTCTTATTATGTAGCTTGGGCTGGTCATGAAGCGGGAGGCCCTGAGTTCAACCCTCAGTACCACCAAGAAAAAAAAGTACCAGTTTTACATGTATAATTCAGGGAGTCAGCTGTGTAACTGCAGTAGTCGATGATCACTCCAATGAGAAGATCTTGTTCTGTGCACAGAACACGTGGATGTAGTAAGGGCAATTAATGGAGTTTTATTATAGGAAAGGGAGAAGGGAATTACAGGTGGGGTCTCTGACAGGTGGTATGGAGGTGCCACATGCCAGAAAAAGGACAGGGATTTTATATTAGATCTTTTTATGTAATCCTTAACTTGGAGTATGGAGAAAATCCTTGTCACTCCTTGTCTCCAAAGGCCTTCAGGCCAGGGGGAGGGTCTGGGCAGACTCATGCACACACTGTGTTAACTCTCAGGTACCCTAGGTCCAGGAGGAAATTTCCACTCTAATTTAACCTAACAAAGGATTTACAATTGGAATAGAGCTCTCTGAGGCTAAAGGAGGTGCTCTATTAAATCAGGCTGTATGGTTTTTAAAGGTTCTGTATGTTCTCTGATGTCTAGCCTGCCTCATAACCACTACAGTGGAACAGTAATCATTGTCCACCAAATTTCTATTGTGCTCCTTTACACACAAACCTCTCACTTTAGCCCCATACTTTTTATTTACCCCCATTTGCTTTTTTAGTGTTATATTTTCTTTTCCTCCTCCTTTCCTTCCATGTTCCTTATCTCCCTACTGTTGGTGAAGCTAAGCTTCATCTCTTGGTGGAAGTGGTGACTGCTGTGTTTGTTTGGTGTAAATTCCTTCCTTTCTTTCTTTTTTTTTTTTTTTTTTTTTTTTTTTTTTGGTGGCACTGGGCCTCACACTTGCTAGGTACTCTTACCACGTGAGCCACCCCACCAAACCTTTTTTGATGATGGGTATTTTGAGATAGGGTCTCTTGAACTGTTTGCCTGGGGCTGGCTTCAAACTAAGATCTTCCTGATCTCTGCCTCCTGTAGCTAGGATAATAGGCATGAGCCTCAGAACCAGGCAAGATTCCTTTCTGTAGTACTGATAAATCACCTGGGGCCACATTTTGAGACCATGTGAACAGCCAGTTTTCTAACTGTCTTCTAATGGCTTAAGGATCTGTTGATGATTATTGCCAGACTCACATATCCTGGGGGATTACAAAACAGTGAGTTTCTAATTCTAACATTATTTCTAAATTTATTAATTGGCATTCTTTTGTAAAGACAACATTTCCCACTTTCTCTTTTTTTACTTATTTATGTACTTACTTATTTCAAGTATCACTATGGAATTTAAAAATTCAATGTTATAAATGTTATAAACCATCACCATCATTACCCTTTTTCATGTTCAGACTCCTAATTTTAGACAGTAGGAAATTCTTCAGACTTGCTCCTGTGTTCTATTTTTACATAAATCCCTCACTCTAGAGTAAATATTTCCTTGTTTTCAGTTACAAACAAGGTATTCTAGTGAAATTAGTATAAAATCAAAACAGTAAAGCAGAATGAAGCTGTCGAGGACCTCCTAGGACACACTAGATTATCAACTGCAGGAGTGGAAAGGACCCCTGTCAATAAAAGGTTTTCAAATATTGGTGAAAGGCATCTATTCTGGGAAAACATTCCTCAAAGAATATAAATTGGCAAGAAAGAAGAGTAGATGCCTAGGTTTTTGTCCCTTTTTAAAAGATTAGTATATATTAATTGTACAAAGGAGTTTCATTGTGATATCTCATACATGCATGTAATGTATTTTAATCAAATTCATCCCCTCTAATACTCTTTCTTATCCCTCTTCTCCCCCTTTTAAAACAATTTGAACTGACTTCATTATTCTATTTGCAAACATTCAAACTCCCTTCATCCTCTGCCTTCACCCTCCCTCCATAGCTGGTTCTCACCCCCAAACAGTTCCTCTGTTTTACACCACGTCATTCATTTTTTTCTAGATGCCTAACTTTAAAGGCTTAATTCACACTTTTATCTAATAGGGATGCTTATGGAGATTAGAAGTTTAAATCTTGTCTGGTCTCTTTAGATCATGATTCAGTAGCTTTAAAAATAGCTCTTTCAGCTAACTTGTTTTTAAGTAGTGAAGTTTAAGAATGAATTAGTGAGACACATACAGCAAACAAAAATGGGAGATAATTATTAACCCCAGGGAACACAAGAGCTGTACAAGAAAGGAAATGTAATTCAATGCATACTTCAAGGTTCATGTCAGTGATATTTACAAAGACATAAGAATGTATGCCCTGAATATCAGGTTAACCAATATAATACTCTATTTGCTATATTATATTATAAACTATAATATGGTGATAATGAGAGAATAAAGAAAAAAATAAAGTATATCCATGGGAGTTGGAGGTACAAGAGACCTAAATTTACATCTAAAACTAAATGTCAGAAATAATAGCTAAAATAATTTAAAACAGTTGTCTCTGGGGAACAGGAAGCAGGAATGGGAAAAGGGGAATGAAGAGTTGCTACTTTTGAAGGCTTTGAAGTACTGATTTCTTAAATTATATATGCATATTATTCTGATAAAATATTTAAAGGAAAATATTTCCACTTAATAAGGCACCAGGAGGTCTGTGCAGTTTTTATAGGATTGTTTCTACCATACTTTAAGCACCATCTAATTCATATATTATATAAACTACTTCAGAGCATACAAAGAGATGGGAAGCTCTAAAATTCATTCTGAGGCTACTATAACCCTGACACCAAAAGTTGACAGAGCAGAAAAAAACATGTAGGATGGTATCATTTATGAACAATTAAAAAATACTAAAAATAGTATTAGGAACTGAATTTAGCAGTGTGTT